CTGCCTGCCTTGGTCTCCCAAAGTGCTGGGATTACAGGCATGAGTCACTGCACCCAGCCAAGTATAGCTGATTTTTATAAGCCATCCAGCTGCTCTAGAGAATTCTATAGCATGAGGTGGTGAGGTGGCCCCTATTATAGGCAGCACCAAAAATTTAGCAGAAGGTTATAAAGGAAGGTTATGTGACTAGTGAGCATTTATGAAAGGCACTCAGCTCTTCTTCAGTATAAGAAACTGCATGAAATGTGCTGGGAAGAAGAAATCTTGAGATTGTTACTAGCCGATATTAGAAAGGAAAATTTGCCATCACTGCTTAGGCTTAACTGTTTTCACACACATGGAAAAAAAGACAAAGAAGGTAATGTGCCTCCCTGGTGCCCTGACGGGGAACTGCTGCAGATGCCAAGACCTCACAGTGAGGGCCACCCAGAGACTTTGTTCACTTCGTGTTCACGTAAAGTTTTTCTTCCTTCCGCTCTTTATTTTAATTTTTTTTTTTTTTTTTTATGTTTCACTTTTCCTCCCAAAAAAGCAGAACTTTAAAGTCACTATATCCTGTGGCTTGTTTCCCAGGCTTAGGAAATGACTCAGATTTTCTTTGGTCAAAATGAATGTTTTGGTTTCTATAATATCACATTTTGAATGGTTAAATTTATGATGCTGATTCCTGAGTTTTGGAGGGATGTTTTAACACTCCTTTTTTAATAGTCTTTCCCCACTCTACCCCTAAAGCCTTAGCATCTTATCAAGATCCTCAGATACTGTCAGGCTTAAAAGTACTGGCCTCAGCTTACCAGTTTCCAGAAACAGTGTAGTCCAGTTTAGAAATGTCATCGTCTTGATAGCATCTCCTAACTTTTAGGCATCAAGATAAACGGACAGCTTGAAAACATTGGATTAATTTGTTTGGGGGCCCAAATAAACATTATTTAAACCTACAATTTTAAACCTATGTTGGTTTGGTTGTTTTTAAACAACCAAAGACAAATCTTTGGCTTTCTGAAAGAAAATCATAGAGGTTTTATTTTGTTAAGTTCTTTGTGAACAATAAAGCTCTTGGTGACACAGAAGTGACAACGTTCTTTTCTCTTGTCCTTAGGTGTATGTGGCAGCCTTTGCCATATCAGCGTATGCATCTAGCTACTACCGAGCTGGGAGCAAGCCATTTAATCCAGTTCTTGGAGAAACATATGAATGTATTCGGGAGGACAAGGGCTTCCAGTTTTTTTCAGAACAGGTATATACACCCTTTTGTGCTTGTTGGGAGGGGTTGCTTATGTCTCCCATTCAATGTGCTTCTGAAATATTTATTTCCTACCTTTCACTGGCTTCAAAGCAGCCGAGATAATTACAGTGCTTTTCAACATAAAGGGAGGGATCGATTTCCCTTCCACTGAAGCCAAGCCACCACCCAGGGGCATAAAGGTACCACCAGTAATTCTGCACATTTGCTTGGCTACATGCATTGCCGGTGTCCTTTCTCTTTAAAATCGTTAGCACAAGGAATTTTGAAAGGATGAACATTGGCCCAACCTTCAATTTAGAGGTTTAACATTGCTCCCTAACACACTGACATCGTTATTCCAGAGCATGAATGCCCCCAGCAGAATGGGTAGCACCAGATAAATGTGTTATTCTCAATTTTGATTTGAGAGGAATCATTCATTGATGTATTTATTCATTCATATCAATAAATTATTTCTAGAACATATACCATGTGCCTGCCACTGTTCCAGGTGCTAGGATATCACAGTGGGGTGGGGGTGAGGGATCCGGATAGGAGTCCTTGCCCTCATCTGATGGATGCACAACCTTGTACTCATGCAGCCTAAAGTTCCATCACACTCTTGCCATAGAAGTAGCATACAGTAATACTCAGACATCAGACAGCCTAGGATCCATCCTATCTCATTTCTACCTCTTACTAGCATTATAACCCAGGGCAAGTTACATAGCTTCTCTGTGCTTTAGTTTGCTCTCTAGAGTGGAGATGATGACAGTTGTATGTACCTCACATGGTTTTGTGATGATTCAGTGAGACACTGTCTGCAAAGCACTTGGAGCAGTATCTGAGACATGAAGATACATGTTATATGTATGCATCCCCAGACCTGCTCTGGGGATCAGAAAGCATGTCCAGTGTGACTAGGTATGATTTTCCCATAGGCAGATTACTTGGGAAACCACCGAGAATCCTAAGTGAGTATGCATCAATAATATGGGGTGGGAACATCTAAAATACTTGTCAATAGGGAATTATTTACCTAAAATAGAGTGTATACATATTGAAAATTTTAAAAAACCTTCTCTTACTAAGATACACAGAAAGAAATTTTTTTAAAATTATAACAAATTTAAAAAATAAAATATACCCTCTCCCACCTTGTTAAGGTAGCAATCAAACACGTTCACTCTCTGTATATCCCTAAATCCCTAGGAACATTAAACATCATTGTTTCTGTACATTTCTCAGCCCCCAGTTCTTAGAGAACTAAGGAGAAAGGGGGGTGGATTGCTAAAATATTCTTTTATCTTGCTGCTCTCTTTATCAATGGATTTGCACTACAGGGAGAGGAAGGGAAGCGTAGGTTGGCTGAGAGACTTATGATGATAGTGCTTATCTTAACTGTAAATGATAAGGAGTGTTCTCTGGAACTTGAAGGAAAATGAATATACAGTAACCCAAAGCACACTGTCAGCTTGCCAGTTAGAAGCTAAAACAAGAAATTAAACATGGACTGATACTGGGGAAGTAGGGAGCTAAATCAGTAGTTAAAGGGGATAAGATAATCTGTGTGATTCAAAATTCATCTGGGTTATTTAAATACTGAACCTAAAATAGAATGAGAATAAATGAAAATATAATTTGGTTTCCATGGTATCATATGCACTCTTGTGAAAAAATAAAGGCCAAAAATAGCCTCAAACTACGGCAGACAATCAGGACAGGATGAATAGCTATAAGAAAAGAATAGTAACGTGAGCTGTGTAAAGTTGAGCTTCAGTCCTCTGAGCCCTGGTGGGACAGGGCCCAAAACAAGATCTGTTTGTGTGTTTCCCATGGTGGCACAGTGGGGAGAAATCAGATGTCCTGGGCACCTGTGCACAAAGACAGAAAGAGGGTTACATAACTTAGCATTTAGTTCCGTGAAATAAGCAAGAAAGAGAAGTGGTTATTGTTAGTAGTTTAGGATGTGCTGGGTGTAGGATGTGCAGACCTGCCTGCTTCCAATCTTAACTCCACAGTTTGTTCCATGCGTGACCTTATGTAAGTTCCTTCAACTTTCTGAGCCTCCCTTTTTTTTTTAATCTATAAATTAGGAATGATAATGTTTGACTAATAGGTTGTAGTAAGGCTTAAACAAAATAATACCCTGATGGAAATATTCAGTAAATGGCTATTGCTCTTATATTTACTGGGAACTTCTACAATGCCTTTTTTTTTTTTTTTTTTTTTGAGACAGAGTCTCACTTTGTCGCCCAGGACGGGAGGACAAGCACAATCAGTCAGTTTTACTCAAACCTCTGCCTCCAGTCAAGTGATCCTTGCACCTCAAGCCCCCAAGTAGCTGGGACTACAGCTTGTGCACAATGCCCAGCTAATTTTCGTATTTTTAAGAGAGAGTTTTCACCATATTTGCCAGGCTGGTCATAAACTTCACTTCATGGGATCCGCCGGCCTTGGCCCTACCAAGATGCGGGAGTTACAAGTCTTGAGCCACCACGGCCTGACCTACAATCGCTTTAATATAAGTGTTAGCATTAATGCCGGTGCGCGGTGGCTCCGCCTGTAACCCAGCACTTTGGCAGGCTGAGCCGGCGGATCACGAGGTCAGGAGATCGAGGTCCATGTTGGCTAACACGGTGAAACCCTGTCTTTACTAAAAATACAAAAAATTAGCTGGGCGTGGTGGCGGGCGCCTGTAGTCCCAGCTGCACAGGAGGCTGAGGCAGGAGAATAGTGCGAACCTGGGAGGCGGAGCTTGCAGTGAGCCGAGATCACGCCACTGCACTCCAGCCTGGGTGACAGAGCGAGACTCTGTCTCAAAAAAAAAAAAAAATAGTAATAAGAGTTTGGGAGACTGAGGTAGGTGAATCACTTGAGGTCAGGAATTCCAGACAAGCCTGGCTAACATGGTGAAACCCCATCTCTACTAAGAATCCAAAAAATTAGCCAGGTATGGTATCACATGCCTATAATCCCAGTTACTCAGGAGACTGAGGCAGGAGAATCACTTGAACCTGGGAGGCAGAGGATGCAGTGAGCCAAGATCGCACCACTGCACTCCAGCCTGGGCAACAGAGCAAGACTCCGTTTCACAAAAAAGGGAAAAGAATAGTAAGAGGAGTGTTGACAAGGCAGAGAGGAGCCTGAGGAATGACTTGATGAAAGAAACTAGAAGGGCATGTATCTATAATACATACTTTCTTATGTTCAGATAAGATATGCTATATCTCCACTTCTAGTACAAGTGGTTTGAAGGGGCCTTAATGTCGCTGGTGAGTCTCTGACGGAAGATGGCTATCAGGCAGCCAGGAGTGCTCACAGCTGGCTTCACCATGGTCATACCACCAGTCCTGATCATCATGGAGCTGCTTCATCTGTCTGGAATTTAGCCTGATGGCCGCAGATAGTTGGTTATTTTAATATACCTAAGAATGGATTAGTATCTCAGGGATAAATTCACACTAAGCTTACAAGAGACTGATGTATAAACTAGAATGCTACTATATGCATTTACTGTGAAAAATAGACCTGCTCTGGGGATCAGAAAGCATTGTCCAGTGTGACTAGGTATGATTTTCCCTTAGGCAGATTACTTGGGAAACCACCGAGAATCCTAAGTGAGTATACAGTGTGAAGATGCACCTGTGTGATTCAGTACGCCAGGCAGCCCTCTGCCTTAGGATTGGGAAGGGTATAGGGTCGGAGCCTCCCTTTTCCTGGCCAACAGGAACCTGTCAACTCAGTGCCCCTCTTTCCCTCTCCTGACCTTGTCTAGTCTAATTTAACACATCTGAGGAGAGTGCCAGAGCATTTATTCTGTTTCCCACTGGTACCTGGTATGGCTCTTTCTGCCTCCAGCCCAGGAGACAGTCTGCCTTGATGGAGACAGCATGACTCTGCCCTTGCCCATTATGTGTCATTGATATACTTGAGCTCTCATGGCTTAGAGGTTTGTTTTCTTGCGCCTCTCTACAGTGAGTACAGGTTTCTGGATGACTAATATAATAAACTGGGCAAGCCCCCTGAATTAATATTTTGGGTGGAATTTTTTTCTAAGGAGGATGTTGATGGAAATTATATCTCCAAGCTTAAGGACCTGGCAAGAAACAACTTGGCTTTTCTTCTGAGTTTCCTAGACAACGGTCTGATTTGGAAAGCGATGGCGGTCTCTCCCTCAAAGCCCCTCGATTTTGTTATCCTGTGGATTTGCTGGGTATGTGGATGTTCCAGGTGGGGAGCAGCCAGGCAAGTGGAAGTCGTTGCTGCTTGAGAGTTCGACTCTGTTGAAACCTGCCTCTCTATTGTTTCTCGTCGAAAAGACCCAAAACCACAATATCAAAATGACTCATGTGGTCAGAAACCAGAGAAAGCATTTCTTGTTAAAAACTTTTCTTATAACAAGTATTAGATGTGTAGAGTGCTCCGTGCATTCATGATCTTACTTGATCTCCAAAATGGCGCTCTGTGGAAGGTGAGGCAGGGATCAGTTACAGGCGAGGAAACCAAGGCCTAGAGGATTTGAGCTTCCCAGTGCCCCTCAGCAAATGCTAGATCTCACCCAGCCCCTCTGTTTCCATCCCTGCGTCCTTTTCCCCTCACCCTTTGTGGGGTCTCTTGTGTGGACTCAGTGACTGTGCTCAGAGCTACTGGAGTCTGCGGTGGATGTGAAAGCAGCCCTTCGTGTATGCTGTTCATTCTTGCCCTGAAGAGTCTCTCCAGACTCACACAGGACTTTGTTTTCAGCTCCCGTGGTAGACTGGGGTGTGGCCTTTGTGAAAGAGGAACGATCAGGAGTGAGTCATAGACATTCCTGTCCTGGGTTCTGACCCTCTGGCTCTTCCACCTTCTCAGAGGTTTCCTTTGTGCCAAAAAATCCAATTCAACCTTGGCTTTCTACACAGACCCACAAAAGGAGGAATTCAGAGAGGAAGGACTTCCCTTCTTTCCTTATTGGTCAGGGACAGAGTATCTTCTGGCAGGTGATTCCCTGCTTGCTGTGTCCTCCTGCT